ATTTGATCTAGTTTGAGATTTGTGTGAGTAAGTCACGGGTTTACTCTTTTACCCTAAGATTTGAAATGACCACACTCAAAATTTGAGATGGTCCAATCCAAACTCACCAGATTTGACTCATTTACCAAGTTTAACTTTTATTATCCACAATGGTGGTTCATGATGGCAAAAAATTGCCATGTTAGTGCTGTCATGAGTCATGACAATGAATGATGGAATTTTAATAAGCACGTGATATTGCCATTTATTTTGAGTTACAAAGATAAAGGGTTAAATTTTTTATATTATAAGTTAAGGGGCTGTTACTCTTATGATCAGTAAAATAAGGGATTAAAGCTTTTATATTGTAAGTTGAGGGATTGATACTTTTATAGTCAGTAAGGTAAAGGCTGGCCAAGGAAATTCGCTGCTTTTTGTACTGGAGATTTCCTAAAAAGAATTAATCCATGAAATTATCTAAAATTAATTTAATCTAGATATTAACTAAATTCAGATAATGAGCTTGAAAACGATAGGGGTATTTGGTTAGGAGAAAATTTTGTTCTTAAACTTTAATTTATAATTTTTTTTTAAAATTATTTATATATTTTTAGATATTAATACTATAATAAAATAAAAATAAAAGTGATATCTCAAGTTAAAATTATTAATAGACGAGAGTTCTTGAACGTAGAGCCTCATCCTTCCTTGCTGAATCGAAAATACAAAACTCCTTCTCCATAAACCTGCATTTTACTTAAGTTTATAATTATTTTGGAAGTTGGGACACCAAATCAGATCAGAGGAGACCGTCACTGGAATCTTTTTGATGTTGCGTCGCAACAATTTCCTGTTGGATATAATTTCTTCAATAATTGCAGAAACAAAAGGACATTGATCTGACGTTTATCTAACCTTTGCAGGAACAGGAACTTTATCTGGTGGAATTTGCTTTAATATATTATACCTAGTACAATATACATATCTATTTTGAGCTTTGCAAAATGAAATCTCTCTTGAACCCTACATAGGTTTTAAATCAATTTTGTTAAGTTGCTATCTATTAATTATACCTTTGTTGTGATCGAAAATCAATTTACGAGTCAAGAGGAGAACTTTTCTGTTGCAAATTTGATTGTGGAATTAGTAATTAGCTAGCAATATCAAGTTCATGTAACTAGGTAAAACAGATTAAAATTTCCTTATAAAGTTCTTAACTGTGATGATGTTATCTATATATCCACCAATCATATATGAGATCAGTAGATTAATGGAAAAAGAGAACATCCATGTATGATGTATTGGATGAGCAATGATAAAGAAGAATATGACCATCAGAATGGATATTACAGGTAAGTAGCAAACAAAAATTGAGGTCATTCAATGTTGGGGGAGTTGCTTCCAACACTCACCTTAGAATATCAAAATCATGTGTAAAAGGAAGAAGAATGACTGGCCAGCAATGATTTGTACCGCATAGCATGAAAACGTGTGTGCCATATATAGCCCAACACAGTTGCTATACTATGGCCGAAAGTACATCAAAATCGACATAATAGGCAAGGAAGAATATTGATTTCCTAGCAAAAACAATGCAACTTGCTTATAATTATTTTGTTCATTCTTTCCCTTCTTTTTTATTTTTGAAATACAGTTGGCTCTTTCTAGCTTTCATTTCGTATCTATTTCTTTTTTTAATTAAAATAGTGGGTATTGATTATCATGATTACATGGTGAAGTCAATTACACGGAGGTAGAAGTTAATTAAGGAATTGGGTCCCAATGTATTCAGCTTGCCATAACCAAGAAACTTGATAGTGCAACGACTCAAGTAATTTGGCGGGACTCATTGCCTTTTTTCTCTTATCCACGTTAATGGCCAAGGATTAAAAAAAGAAAAAGCATTACACCATACAAAACTTTTGGTATATATTTAGGAAATGAGAAACTGTTTTTGTAGTTCCTATATTACCGAACTACAAAACAAAAGACTATTTAAGAAATAGATTATAAAAAATTTAAAACATCAAAACTTCATAAAAAATTTCTCAGAAGTTTGGATGGCTACCATGATCTCCATTTGAAGTGGTAAAAGTTATTTTATTTTATTTTCCTCAAGTTAAATATGTTATAAAAGTTACATACTATCATTTCACATTTTTTTTTTTTGAAAAACAAAAATAATATTTATTGATACGGAGCACAAGGGGTACCTCAAACATGTAAACATCTCAGTTTGAAAGGCAAAGAGTTACATATTCAAATAGCCCTTCCGTTCGGGGTCGACACCTATAAAAGTTACATACTATCATTTCACATATATCTTTATTCTGGTGCATTCAATCCACTTATAACAGAATACTCCATAAATTCTGTTGCTCTCTAATTCATCCTGGGGCGAGTTATATGTTGCCACACTCAAGTAAGTGTTAAAGCCATTCAGAGTTAATGTTGCAATTCCACCTTTTTTTTTTTCTTTTAGTGGAAAACAGTTAAATTTCGTTACTGAAAAAAGAGGAGAAACAGATATCACAGTCCAATCCTTGCTTGAGGGCGCCACAACCGTCATGCCAAAGGCGATCGAGTTTTGCAATGTTTTCCGATCCGCTACTACATACATATCTTATAATCACGTAGACTTAGGTCCACGTAGCACAGTAAAAACTAAATAGAGAATTAGTCAGCAAAAAACAAAAAAGTAATAACTCGATTTCAGTTACTCCTCCTGGCTCTAGATGTTAATTATACTATCATAGCTACTCAACCATTTCAGTAACTTCGTTCAACACTTACGAGCAGTCAATCATGACGGGGATCAAAACCCATCTCACCATATGTCCAGAAAGTAGTCAAATACCTCCATTCTTTAAAAAAAAAAAAAAAAAAAATATACTTATCATATTAAATCCCACCACATTGCTTAGAGAAGGTCCTTGAACGCCCCTAAAAACATCTTTCCTGTTTCGAGACATGATCCATATTCCCACTTTTGTATTCTTTTAATTAATGAGTTTTGAAAACTGCATTTTCATTAATTTTTCATTGACTCACACTTAGTCGATCAGTTTAGTAAGACATTAACGCTTTAAAATATAACAATAACATCGCCCTTACTTTGTTGCTATTATTCTTCATTTCAATTCATTTAAGCATTAGATTGTACCGTCAGGGTCTGTCCTGACTAAATTATATATTTCCTTGCAGTTGCAGGTGTATCGGATGAATTGAAGACGACCGCGAGCTAACACCGGCATCAAACACTCTTCATTATGACCAATTTTTTAAGAACCAAATCTCAATCATAGGTAGAAATTAAACAAATACTCTTAATTAATAGCCAAGTCAATCCATCTCCCACAGTTGACATTTTGGATAATTGATTTCATATTAATAATAATAAAAAAGTTCGTGTTATGTACATATATATATTAAATAGCAAGACTCATGCGGGGAGTCAGTACTCTAGCTCTTTATTTAGCGATTGGGTTCAGATATTATAAGATTGATTTCTGTTAGTAAATACAATGAAATTGGTTTCTGTCTGTAAACTTCATACCATATAATGGACTAAAATAATTTTTGTACTTTTTAATAATAAAAGAAAAAATATGGCTGTAATTGATTTTACATATATATTATATTATACCTATAGGGTTTGATTTTTGTTGGTAAATGAGTGCTGAGTTTTAGCCTTTTGCCATCTATGCATCCTTAAAATTATTTGAAAAAAAATTAATTTCAAGGTGGGGAGGGGGAGGACTAATATCAATATTACTAAAGTTATATTTATATAGATTCTGAACATGTAACATGGTGATAAACATAGACTTGTAATTACATCAAAATTTTCAAATAGTAAAAAGAAAGCATAAAAAGTCATGGCGGAATGAAAAACTGAAAAAGAACAGCTTATTTGCTTTCCATCTATGGTAAATTGAGATAACTTTTGGGCTCCTATGACTTTTATAAAACCCTAATTTTAGCCAAATGTGGAATACTTGAATAATTTGAGCACATAATTATCCTGAAGTTTTCTCAAAGGGCCCTAGCCTACAATCAGCTAGCCTTGATTTGTATGCAGACTTTTTGTATTCACTCCATGTGAACTCCCTGTACAAACTCTCTTCTCCTTTCGCTAAAAGGCAGCCCAAAGGTACTATCTTTTCATTCAGAGGTGGTCCTCCAAAATAGATCATTGAAATCCTTGATTTCACATTGTCAACCAACACTCTGTGCTTCACACTCCTAAACCTCCCATTAGTTATCACCTGCATCAAAACCCATATCGAAATCAGTATAAAAAATAGAAAGACAAAATTTTTTAACAAAACCAATATTTTTTTAACCAGGGGACAAGAGGTGACTCCACTTGATATTAAATATGGGTGGATACCCCTTTCAACATTGGATAAAGGAAAACTCGTTTAAGAAACTTCTGCGGAGGATTCCTTGTGGATGTCAGGATTTGTGATGTATCTCGTCGTGAAGCATTTGGCTATTTGGCTTCATGAACTTCACGATTCTGTTCTCAAAAAGAGTTCTTTGTGGGGAAGAAATTGTCAAATTTCAAATTGAAAATGAGGTTCAACCAGAATGATACATC